TCTATATATGTAATAATCTTTTTTCGTTCTATCAATTTATTCGGTCGCTTTTTCAACTAATATTTTTTCTTTCCTTTCTCTACTGTGTCTAAACGGAACAAGTACCAATGCATTAAATATTCGTATATAAAAATCGAACCAACTGAAAAGATCTGATACTTTCTTAATAAATTATTCTCGTTAAGAATATCGACATTTGAAAATAAAAACAGTTTTTCTTTTACCATGATATTCTTATATTGAAAATTTTAGTTTTTCTAGATGTCAGGTACTTTCATAAATATCTTTATTATAAGATTTCCATCTAAACTTTTATGCGTAGACATATTTTAGATCTCATAGGATATTCTTAAGATTTTAGCTGAAATAATGAATAAAAAATAATATATAATAATAGTTGAAATATTCTTTTAAATAAATATAAATAGTTAAAGAAAAGAATAATCTCTTTTCTAGATAGAATAGTTTTTATTTTATTAAAATAAATTATTGATTTAAGAGAATGATATATTTCTCTGAAATCCTTTAATAAATCTTTAATATAGAAATAAAACTTAAAACTTATTTCAGATAGATATATTTTGTTAAAAGTAAATGTGGAAAAAAATTATTTTCAAATGAATTTAATAAAATTTTTGTGTATTTGATGTTATGAAAATATGAATTGAAATACATTTATCATTGATGAGTTATTTGTGAAAGTGTCTGTTTATATATGATTAACGTTTTTTTTTTAATCTTTCTCAATATTTGATATTGTCAAAGAATGTTTACTTCATAGCGTTGAATTTCTAAACAAACAAAAAAGTAGAAACAACTTGGTTTAATATATTTTCTTGGCCATTCAATTTCATTACAAATAATAAGGATGTTTTGTTCTTTATTTGAATTTTACGAAAGACGATTCAAGACGAATAATTCAATTATTTAACTTATATATCTTATTGACTTTCTTTACGATTCGTATTACACGAAACTCTACATTTTTTTCTTGCCTATCTATGATACTAAAAATTATTCTTCTGTTTATGCAAATACAGTAGATTAAACTAATTTTAGATT